AGACACCTCTTAAACACCCCCAGGGATGGTGACTCCATCACTTCCCAGTGCCCAAAATGTTTCCTAATATCCAATTTAGTCTCCACCTAGGGCAGCAGTGCCTAGCACAGCTTCAGATTTCCTCATCTACCCTGGAAAAACAAGAGGTCTACACATACAAACCCAGACAGCTCTTGCAAGGAAGCAGATTGCTACACACCTGAGCATCTTGCTGAGCAAGGGCCTCATCCACAAAGGTTCCTTCATCTCTGTTACCCTGCACAGACACAAGGGGGAAAAACTCATGTCACCAGAATAACTCAAGGAAGCAAGTCCTGCAAATCCCCCAGCCAAAACCAGCTGCTGGTTTGAATACTGGGATCCTTACAGTTTGCATGATCCAGTTTGCATAATCCAGACACTTTGCATAATGGGACCCTTAGCACAACACAGCAAAGTATGGCTCAGGTGGGACCTGTTCCTCCCTCTGGGGTGAGCAGCCATGCACTTCATTTACAGAGCACATGGCATCAGTGCATGGCCAGAGGGAGAGAACCTCCCTGCAGGAGCTGGAGTGAAACACCAGAGAGGGGAGAAGCAGGAGAAGGGAAGTAACAACCTCACCAGTGAGAGAGAGAGGCTCAGCAGCAGTTTGAGCCCACGTCCCCTGGCCTGGCCTTACCGTGGCGAGGGACACGAGGACTCTCCGGAGCATGGAAGAAGTGTCAGAGACAATGTCCTCCTCCAAGGTGCAGCCATACTCTGCCAGAGCACACACAGAGCACATCTGTCAGGAGCAGCTCCAGCACCTGAGACTGTTTGCCCACAGCACTGTGAGCTGGGTGAGTGTGTGCTCAGGGCTCTGGACATCACAGCATCAGCAAATGGTTTGGGGTAGAAAAGACCTCTCAGCTCACCGAGTCCAACTGCCAAGGCCACCACTAACCTTGTCCCCAAGTGCTGTTAAATTCCCCCAGGGATGGTCAATCCTGTGTCCAGCTCTGCCAGGGCTGGACAACCCTTTCCATGAAGGAATTTTCCCCATATCCAATCTGAACCTCCCCTGGCACAGCCTGAGGCTGTTTCCTCTTGTCCCGTCCCTTGTTCCCTGGCAGCAGAGCCTGAGCCCACCTGGCTGCACCTCCTGGCAGGAGTTGGAGAGAGCAGAAGCTTCTCCTGAACCTCCTTTTCTCCAGGCTGAGCCCCCACAGCTCCCTCAGCCTCTCCAGCTCCATTCCCTGCCCTGGATGTGCTCCAGGACCTCAATGTCTTTGCTGGAGTGAGGAGCACAGAGCTGGCCCAGGACTGGAGGTGCCTCAGTTGCTGTCCTGATCCTGTGGCCACACTGTGACTGGGACAAGTCAAGATGCCTTCTTGGCTATCATGACAGCAGTGCAGCCACCACCCCCTTAGTGCTGCAGGGGAAGATGAAGAAGCAGAGCCAGAATCAAACTGGCCAAAGATCCACCCATGGACAGACGCCGAGCGGAGAGACACAACCACCCACCCTGTTCCATGGAACTGACTGAACTCCTGGGTGAAATCCTAGTCCCTGGGGCTGAGAGACCCTTCCCCTCACTCTCCACAGGGCAAGGTGTGTGCACACCCCCCAGGGACTCCGTGGGCACTACGTACGGAGTTTGTAGTTCTCATTGATGCGCCGAATCTCCTCGTTCGTGCGAGAAGCCACGATCTCAATCAGGCAGCCTTCATCTGTTCCTGCTCCCTAAGGAATGCAGAAACCAGAGCCAAGGTCATTCCAGCTGTTTTAAGGGGCAGCTGTGACTTTTGGCTTATTACATATAAGAAAAGAACAATAAATGTGTAGTTATGCCACATCATACTGAGCTGAGCGTAACGTGAGCACCATAAAATGAGATTTCCAAACCTTCATAGACCTCCTCAGCTCGTGCACATCATACATGGCAGTAGGAGTCATCAACCCAACGATCACCTGCTCAAAATTCCCACTCAGCTCAGACTTCAAGTCACTGATCAAATCCTAGAAGACACAGAGAGAGAGAGAGGAGAAAGAAGGAGAGAGAAGGTTCAGCCTTGGAGAAGAGAAAGGAGGAGAGAGAAGGTTCAGCCTTGGAGAAGAGGAAGAACTTGTTCACCACCTCTCTTCATGCTCCAGCCCTCCTTGGATGAACTCTGGAGGGAACAGGAGCAAAACAAGCTTGGCCAAGGGAAACTTTTGCTAACTGTACTGTCATGGAGACCAGGATGTTGTTCCCATTTCACCCAAGTCACACACCCCACAGCAGGTCCCAGCTCAAGCCACAGTCACTCTGCAAACCACCTACCCTGCCAATAGTGCTTTTGTAGGCGATCAGGACTTGCTGACGTTGGGCAACGTTCAGTTTGGTCAAGGTGTCAATGATGGCATCTTCATCTGTGCCTGGAAGAAACCAAGAGGAACCAGTCAGGCTGCCTGCAGGAGAACCAGCCACGTGCTCTGGCCTTGTCCAGGGTGTGCTGTTAGTCTCACAGCCTCACACACATCCTCACATGTCCAGAGGTGCCTCAGCCCAGCTGTGGCAGTACCACAGGACAGGGAACACCAGAGCCTGAGGATGTTTTTATGGCCAAAACTTGGATTTCCAGTGAGGCTCAAGTCACTCAATTCCTTCCAGTGCCCACTCAGGGCAGTGAGGTGATGCAAAGGGTTGAACTTCCCTCCAAACCACCACATGAAACCTTCCCAATCCTCAGGGGAAGAAAAGAGTGTTTAACAGTGGAGAGAGACCAACTTACCAAATCCCTTCATGGCCTTTCTTAGTGCCTGTGCTTCTTGCTCAGCACTGAAACTCGAGACACCCTTGATGGTTGCCTAAACCCACAGGAGAGAGTTGTGAAAGGCAGAGCCAAAGTGTTACATACACAGAGCAGAAGATATCCCAGAGCAGGGGTGGGACTGGGTGGGCTTTAAGGTCCTTCCCACCCAAACCATTCCAGGATCCTGTGATAACTACCATAACCATGCAGGTTCAGCCTGGAAAGAATAATATGCCCAGGAAGTTTATCTGGAGAAATTGATGCTCTTTGAACTAGTATGTCTGGATTTTCCCTTCACTCCCCAAGTGCAGCAACCCACACGTGGAGTCATTCCCCTCTGGTAAGAGGAAGCAGAGAAGCCATAAATTCCCCCTGATGAGGGCACAGACAATGACAATGTTCATCCTGCTGTGCCCTTATCTGAGCTCCACTCCCCACAGGTCTCTCTCTGGCTCTGGTCTCTCTTGGCACAGGGTGGCACAGCAAACACACACTCACCATCGTGTTCAGATTGGCCAATCTGCCACTGACTGTGTCCACAGGCACTCAGACCTGCAATAAAAACCACAGGCAGTGTTAGTTTTCTAGCAAATAATTAATAGAATGCGCCTACCCTCGCGGGTTAATTAGGCTGATTAAATAACCATCCCATTCTTTGAGGATTCAAAGCAGGATTGAACAGCCCAAGTGAATGCAGAGCAGCTCATCAGAGTTTCCAGCTCTGTTCTGGGCTGGGCTGAGCAGCTCAGGGTGAACAGGCAGGAGATCAGCACCAGCAACTGAACAGGAGTCTCTACTGCTGCCAGTGTGCCAGGCTCCAGGGAGAAGCAGGTAATGCCTCTCTGGGAGCAAAGAAAACAGATTTGATCCCTGTGCCCTTCAAAACACTCAGCTTTGACCTTGGCAGGTGAGAGTCTGAGGGTGAAGGTGCCCACACAGCCCTGGGGGGCAGAGACAACAACGTGATGTAGATGAGCACAGAAAGGACAACCTCACTCAATAATTATGTTCCCTCTTAATATTTTACTACAAGCTTTTGCATTCGGCATCTCCTCAGTGTGGTGCAGTGTGGGACAGCAGTTTTAACTGCCAAAGCTCTCCAAAAAAAAACCCCAAACTTGCCTGCCATCTGCCCAGGGTTCTTATTTCTGCTCATAATTTTGTTTTCATGCACACAGCCCAGACAGGAGCACACCCAAATGCTCAGGCTGGATCATTTGACAGGAGGTCAAGTACTGGGACAAGGTTCACTTCCCTGAAACTCGAGTTCATGCCAGGAGAGGAAGCAGGAAAAGCAGACCCAGAGCAACACATACATACAGGAGGGTTAAATGAAATCAGAACGAACTCAGAGGATGCAAACACAGTGACACAGAGCCAAACCCACCCAGCAGACGTGGGGGTTGTCCCAGGATTGAGTGAGTGCTCCCACCAAAGCCCCAAAGCAGAAGCAGAAGTGTCCCAGCTCTCCTTCATCCCACTCGTGGTGCTCAATAGCTGCTCCCCACGAGCTCAGAGTTGGGCAAGAACAGCACAGTGTGTCTCCACAGGACTCTCACTGCTCTGGAATGCATCAGGGTGTGCTGCTCAGGCCAGTCAGCTCAGCCTGGCACTTCCACATGGGCACTCCCAAGTGCTCTCCACATCATCTCTACACCCTGAGCAACACGTGGGAATTACCAATGTCAAAGTTTGGTTTCCTTCAGCTGATCATAAATTGCAGTGGTCAGATTATGACCTAGATTTCTTATAGAAAAGTAATCTTTGCTCCTCTTCTAATCTTTTGCCAACTCTACTTGCTTTAGTCTGGCACTAAAAGCCTCAGATTGCACTGATGTTTTTATGATGCAGCACTGATGGCTAAGTTGTGTTTATCCTATGATGTGGTGTGTAGAAAGGAGTATCAGACAGGCTGGTTTAGCAAGGCAATTAGAGGGCAAAAGGAAGGTCAGTAACAAGGGAAATGGGGTGAGAGGCAGAGAAATGCCAAGTGAAAATGAACAAGGAGAGAGAAACCAACCCATGAGGAGATGATACATGTACTGGACTCAGGGCAAATGCTCTGACAATACCCATTTACAGCAGCAGCAGCAGCACAATGAGTATTGACTGCAAGATTCCCATTGCTTCATCCAGTGAACATCACTGGCAATCCAAAGAGCAGAGCACTGCAAAAAGGTATCAGTGCAATCACTGCTCAGTCTGCAAGTGCTGGGGTGTTCCCAGTGTGCTCCTGAGTGTGGATGAGCCACTGATGGAAAATACAGGTGGGAGAGCTCAGCAGGACAACCAGATTCTCCAGCTCCTGTAACCCTGTCACGGCTGAAGGTGCCTGTACCAACTGGGGAATCAGATGAATAAAACTCTCCTAAGCAGGGAGAGACAGGAATTGCTCAGCAGATTTGCCAGCTTAACACAATCCCTGGCCTGCAGCTCAGGCAGGGAAAACCAGCTCCAGGGTAGGAAGAAAACCCCTCACTCCATGCTCTGAAGAGTTAAACTCTGCATGCAAGAGTCAGCCAGGGAGAATTGAGAAATGCTGATGCTCTTTGCTTCACCCCAGAATAAAGAGCTGATAGAGCAAACCAGGCTCAAAACACTGCCCAGATGACAGAGGGCAGGTACACAAGGCATCCCTCCCGTTACTCACTATTTTTCCAGGGATGATTTTTCCTGGCAGGCTCTATCAGCTGATCAGGCAGTTATAAATCCATATCAACATCCTCCAAGAGCTGAACCCAGCACAAACCTGATTTACCAGGAGGCTGCTGAGCCCATCCCGTGTGCTGGCCAAGCCAAGCCTCAGCTTGCTCCGAATCAGGTTTTCCTGACACAGGAACCAGCAAGATGTAAACACAGAACCTTTTTCTCCCTGTTCGAGCTCAGGGACGCGTTGCCAAATCCTCCCCCTGGGACCAGGCGTGGGAACTCACCGTGCTGAGACCCTTGCGAGGAGAACACGGGACGTGTCTGACGATTTCACCCAGACACAACCCACACCCTGAGCCGCACCAGCTTTTCCAACAGCTCCATCCCACCCTGCTGGACACATCCTCGGGCTCAGCTCCAGGGGTGCCCGGGGGAGGTTTGGGGTGAGCGATCCCAGCGCAATCCGCAGCTCGGGGAAGGATTTCCCTTCTCCCACGAGCCGCAGCAGCTCCCAGGCAGTGCTACCTGCCTGACAATGCCCTCGGGAGGAATGACAAGGTTTTGCCGAGCTGGCAGTGCCCACCCGAGCCGCCCGCGG